CCACAGGTCGATAAATTTTACATGACTCTCTTGGGAGTGGCGTTACCCACATGATAAACTACTTTAGAAATCAAAATGTTTATTATAACATGTTGAATTGTTGCAAACGTAAAACCGACATAATTGCAATTTACTGCTAAACTAACAATCTCACGTTATTTTTTCATAGAACTGATTTTGTAGAGGGCAAGCTAATGAACAACTTTGATTCAAAAAAATTTTCAAAATCCCCGTTTACAAGCAAAAAAACTCAAAAAAAATGGTTGCCTGTAAAGTCGGTTTTACGGGCGAAGATTTTACGTGACAACGTCTTTTTCTCGGTAGAATATTTATTGATATGAATATAATTTAGTTAGTATTTTTATAGATATTTATTGTATGTAGTATATATATATTATCTTGTTTACATAGACATAAAAATATAATAAGTAATTTGATGAATTCTTTTTGCACTACCTTAAAATTTTTGCTAAAATTCTCCGGTTGACTGGTAGAGAATGCCTAATGGCATTAAGTCCGCCACTTGTACATACTTTTGTGCAATAAAGTATAAATAAATAAATAAATAATTAAATTGCACAATAGGAACAAGGAATTGAATGAAAATAAGAATTGCACAAATTTTAACTATAGAAATATATATAATACGTCAAAAAAACATATTACAATGCATTGTGCTTGTGAATACCATCGTAGCATGCAACCACGCTACGACGATTCGTAGCAAACTTGCTACACGGCTACGGGGTTCCAGCATGCTACGAGACTCATCGTAACGTTACCGAGCGTTACACTTTTTCATAAGTGACTCCCAGCCGCAACCTAATTTAAGACGTTGTCACGTCAAAACCGGTTTTTCTTTGTTTAAACAATTTTCCTGGCTACAAAACACGGGTTTTAGCGGGGACAAATGGAGGGCATATTCGTGGGGGTCTATACTACCTAGGAAAAAATTGGCTAAGCGCTGGTGTCTTAGAATAGAAGTCGGTCCAAATTATGGCTATTCCGACTGGACTATGTAGTTAGGTCAAAAAGTTGCTGTTAGGCCGGTTGATTGTCAGTCCCATCGCAGAAATAATGAATCGGGGAACCAAACTACAAAGCCCGGATGATGACACCATTATAATATTAGTCAACGGAGAGAGGAAAGGTGATTCGTGTTGACGCCTTGCCTTGGAACCAGTGGCGACGCTAGACCACATGTGGACGTCGGCGACATCAAGTTCGCAGGCCTATTTTAATTCGCAGTAAAAAACCGTTAAATTATGTGAGGCAAATTATAAAATAACGTATGTGTTAACGAGTTTTCTTGTTGATAATGAAATGATGACAAAAAATAATAACAAACATAGAAAGGAGATTGCTCAGCTTCCATACATGTTTGGCCTAAAAACCAATAACCATGAAAAATTGTTTCCTAGATTCGAAATTATATATAAATTACCGTAGAAACGAATATTATCGACGGCCACTCCTGAGAACTTCTATAAACCATATACACTGAATGATTTTGAGGTTATGTTTGCAAATAGGCACATAGGTATTAGAATAATAAAATAGTGTTGCCAGACAGACGATTCTGAATACCCGTAAAGTACTACTCGCTTCCATCACGCACGTGTACGAAAATAATAAAAGTCATTATCATCTGCTTAGCTTTTTCCCCGAATTGTTCGGGGTCGGCTACCTAAGCCAGGCAAGGAGAAACGAAAATAAATAGGTAACTTGTAAAAATTTTTTGCGAGGCCCCCTGAGGCGCGAGGCCGTCGGCGGTGTCCGACGACGCCACTGCTTGGAACTTTTACACCTATACACTCAGGCTGAAAAAAGACTACGATGAGCAATACGGGAAAGGTTTCAAATCTCGACTACGTGATTCACGATCACCAGGCAACAGGACGTACCTACATTTGACACAGTCTTTACTGTGTCCAAAATAGATACAGAAGAATACAACTATCGAGTTTAATATTGACAGGTATACAATAATGTAATAATATACGGAACAGCATTATATTAAACCAGAGAAGAAATCAAGCGTTGTAAGTAACTATGAAATACTTTAAATACTGAAATATATACTATGATGAGCTCGATTGAGCGGGTGGTTAGTGCGCTCGGCTGCGATCGTTGAAGTTAAGCAGCGGTCGGTCATTGGATGGGTGACTAAAAATCTTCTATCGCGAGTTCCTCCGTGCTACGGAAAACACGTTAAGCCGTTGGTCTCGGCTGCATCTGCAGTCGTTAGCACCAGCCAATCCGGACTGGGCCCGCGTGGTGGGTCATGGCTAGTGTTGCCAGGTGTCCCGATTTTCAGGGGTCTGGGGACGCGTCCCGATTTGAACCTGATCGGGACGCTAAATGTCCCGATTAATCAAAAAATGAAATTTAGGTAATTAATATAATACTATACTTGCACTAGTAGTTTAAAATGCAATAAATTAAACCCAAACTTAAAAACCTTTTGTTTATTGTCCCGATCTGCAACCTTAAATCCCGATTTTTTGGACCTCTTGTACCGATTTAAAACAAATCGGACCTGGCAACACTAGTCATGGCCCAAACTCCCTATTCCATCCACAGGGAAGGCTTGTGCCCCAGTTTGACATTTATAGGCTGATGATGATGAAGTAACTATAAAAAACGAAAAGACGCCCTCGGTGCCTATGAAAATGTGTTATTTTTTTTTTCATTTTTCAATAATAGACTCGAATCTCGATATTCCCGGGACTTGTAGGTTATTCTCGAGTATTGAAATAACCAAAATTTCTCGAAATTTTCGAGACCGAGATTCCCGGGATGAAAGCCCTATTCGGCACCGTACGCGCCGAATTTTGTAAATTCTACAGAACAGAAAAAAATAACTGTTTAATGGTATAATTCTTTATTGAAATGCGGCGAGTTCGGCACGTATGGTGCCGACATATTTAATATCACAGATCACTACCTATATATTATTATGTAGCACGCATGCATATTATGTGCGAATTGTGCGATTATCTTTATATCATAGATAAGGATGTAACAGTTAAGATGTTATCGTCTCGTATTGAATAATCGATTCAATTTTTACTCTTTCAATTATTTTCACAAATCATTCAATTGGTTAATGATCAAATAGTAATTTGAGGCTTTATTAAATACCATTATATAGGCATAAAATGGATTATCGTTATGTGGACACGAATAGGCTATTTGACAGTTTTGGCATGTGTTTATAACATGAACATTGAGAGCGACATCACTATTTTGACATAAAATATTGTTTAAAATCATGAAATTGAAAAGTAATTTTTGATCTATTATCTTGTGACCGAAAACGCCTAGGGTTGCCGGAGCCCTAAATGACATCACCTGTTTGTAAACATGATGTAAAAGTGACATTACTTTGTACTGTATTGACGTTTTAATGAGACCCGTGTGATGTCACCTGTCTGTAAGACACCATATTATTATGCAAAAATGGCTAGTTGTTGGACCGATGAACAATCACAAATCAGAGACAATTAATTATAAGTTTTAATCAAACTACCCCCCCTCCCCTCCATTATCATTGGTCGATAATATCAGATGCTTTAATAATAACAACGCAATAGAAGTATGACCAAATATTGCAATAACGCATCGATATTATATTATCGGTCGCCTATGCATTATACAACACATCCTCTCACTGTGAGTGTCTGAGTTAATTGTGCTCGTATGTATTAATTAATCTGCGTTTGATCTATTGTCATACTATGAGTCTAGCAGAGTTGAATAGCATACATTTTATTTTCTAGCTTCAAAATAATATAAGCAACATAAAAAAGCCTTCAACATCATTCAGAACTAAATTTGAAGTTTCTTAAAGTCGCGGCACGATATGATAGTCGTTTTGTCACATTACAATAGAGATGAGGAAACGACATTTTGTAATCGAAAAAAATCTAACACAATCCAATAAAAGTCACAGCTTTGGGTATGATGTTTTTGGAATTTTAACGAATAGTCCAAATATAGCTGATTAAAAAGATTGAATAAAACGACCATGTAAATGTTAACGTACGCTCAGCGATCCTATATGCAGTGATCGTATTAATATTCTTTTACGTTTCTAATATCGAAAAAAACGAATGCTGAGTACGAGTAACACATGTAGTGAATTAGGACAAATAGTTCTTAATGATAATTATAATAATATGTATAGTCAAATAATTTATTGTACTGAATCCTTTATTCTGTCAAATAGCGTTTATGTTAAAAATTACATATATATTTAATTGTTTTAAACGTGAAATAAATAATATATAATAATATAGTAAGTGAGTAGTAAAATTTTAATTCTACGAATTCTATAAATTTTATGACAAACTGCACGTCTCTAATGACAATGAAGCAATAATTATTTGTTTGAAGTTTAGAACTAATTTTGAATTTCGAATATAAAACTTTATGGTCAAAACGGCCATCACAGCGTGTCGCCACTATAATAAGAATCATTTTAAATTAGATATTTACGTCACGTACATTTACTTCTAATTTAACGATTAAAAAGTTAGAGGTAATAATAGATTTAATAATATGGCATTTATTATGTGAAAAATCGATTTGTTTTTCGATTATTCACTCGAGAATTAATTTAATATTATCCCCACACTATATTTGGTTGAAGGTTGTGTTGGCTATGGTTTTATCTTTACCTTATCTTTTCCACTATTACAAACGTCAGTGGGGGATATCCCCGAGATGAATTATTAACACACTATCTATGGTTAGTCTACTTTTGGTTGACATCTATGTAGTGAGTGGCGTAAATAATGTTGAATGTTGTAATATAATTCACATTAAATAATAAAGTATGTATTATCTGTGAATATTTGGGACAGTGTGCAGTTTATGAAATGAAAAATATACTCAAATAAAATAAGTACTTATTGTGCAATAGAATAGAAATACGGGTCTCGTGTACTGATTAAAAAATAGAACCTATTGATCAAAAGTGATTTTAGCTTCACAAAATGAATACGTCTAAAGAGCAGAACAATTGTAAATTTGCTATCAAGAAGCTACCAACATTTTCTATTAAGAAAAACGACTTGAGGCCGCTCAAAAAGTCCGATTTCCTCAGAAACACTTTGTATAAAGAAGACCTGTTGTATGAATCTCAGAAAGGGGATTTCCTTAAATCTGACACTCAGTTGAAACTGGTGAATCGGCTGAATTTGATCACTAAGAGCAGTGTTACCGTGGCAACTTATGGGGCAAGCACCTTAGAAAGAACCTCAGACAATGTTAGTCGTCTAATAGGGCAAAGCAACTACGATACAGTTTTTTCAGCCTTATGTTCAGTCATAAGTCACGAATTGAAAATACGAGGTATTCTGTCGCTATTGACGCCACCAAAGAAGACTAGAACTTGGTCTTCGCAAACTGATGATATAAAACCGAGTGATGACTCAAAATTAACTAGGCAAATGGTAGAGAAATCGTGTCAAACTGAGGAATCTTCGATTATTTTAACATTCGACAAAGACAAACGGGGGAAGAGAACGAAGAGAAAACAGTTCAATCCCTATGTTGTAACCGAATCGCCAGTTAAGAAAGCTGAAGTAAAAATTATTGTGCACCCAAAGAATTTCAAAGAATCAAATCCAAGTATTAAAATGGAAAAGTTGGACTCTACTACTGTGGGAACAGTAATGTCTCCGGTAGAGGAAGGTAATATGCAACCGCTACCGATATTAGATAATTTGTTGTTGGACGACAATTCGAATGATAGTAAATTTTCTATGGGGACATGCCATAGTATACCTGCTTTGACGAGTGATCCGTTTGCTCTCATAGATCAAGTCACCGCACCGGTTTGTGCAAGCCCACAGACTTTCAACTGGTCAGTCAATACAGACCTCACATTGTTAGATGGTACAATATTGCGGATACCATTCAAGATAGAAGATGAATTTCACATAGCCACACCGGAAATCATGAAGTTTATTCCACCACAGCAACGTATGAATCTGTTATTATACCAAGCATATGTCGACTGGAAGAACTGTTTAACTCCTGATGAAGATCATCACTTGTAAGTAAAATTGTTTTAATTATATTTTCTTTTTTTTAGTATTTAAATGCTGAAGATGATGTTTAAATCAAAAGAAAATTTTACTAGCCAACAATTCCATGCAGGTTTCAGTCCCGTCTGCTGATCTATGTGGAATTTTTTTTAGTTAATTTTTCTTTAAAATTGTTTTAAGTTTACGAATCAACAGTTTAACTTGCTCGTCTTCCACAGAGGAACTTGTGATAATTTTTATTATACATTACTCACCTAGTAATAGATTTCGAATAAGTTGATCCACATCAACTGACATATATATTTTTTTTATCTACACTCATGTTCAAATATTCCAATTATGATTTTAAAGATGGTTATACCTTTGTCTATGTTAATAGCCATTTTCTGCCAATGTCAAAAAACCCCTGTCTGTGGAAGTGATGGATTTCTGCCACTTCACAAAATTATTTTAATATATTTTTCATATTTTTTGTTTTATCATATTAGGATGGTTTTTAATTGATACCTCTAATATATAGATATTCAAGATTAATTTACGACATAAATGAAGCCTGGATTTTACAGTAGAACTCGAATAATAAGAGGAAAATCATCTGGAAAACCATTGCTTTTCCGGCCATGAAAAACATAATGGAGGGCTCTACAGACAAGGTTTTGAGAGCCATTTTGCTTACATAGTTGATGGGATAAAGGGCCACGAAGGTTTGCCTCATGCGATACTCGTTTTTTAATACCCCTTTTTATATAACATTATGTTAAATGGGTGGCCAACAATTTTGCAGGCCGGCTAGGTGAGGATGGTTGGTGTGGCAGTTTATAACTGCTGTACCAGCTATCTTCGCGTTTGGACTCTATCACCACTTAACATCAGGTGGGGTAGTCTTTTGCCTACCCTGCTATAAAAAAAAAACCTCAAGCCCTGCCTGATGGTAAGCTCTTATAGCCTAAAGATCCCAGCGATACCAAAAATATCACAGACATTGTTGCCGACCCTGACCCAATCCTTTACCCCATGAAGCGTTGAAATCCTTTTTATTCTTTTTATTTTGTTTCTGGGAAATGCCTTACACATCCTTCAATCACCGGGGGACGAAGGGAGAAGGTATGTGGGACTCCTCCCTGCTGCTGCTGCCTTGGGCCAGATAAAATGAGCAGGGCCCACGCCCTACCTATAGCCCTGAACAGGTCTATAGGTAGGGCGTGGTCGTGGCACCCGATTTCTATCTGGCCACGCAAGCGTTGGAATCATGATAAGTTGTAATTTCCTCTATAAATGTCTTCCACCTTTTCAATGACGCTACATTGTATGTTAAAAGTGCTATAATAGAAGCCACTGATGTATTACAAAGTGTCAAAAAAGAAACTGTTCACATTTAAACCACCAAAGAAGATTTATACAGCATGATGTAAAAATTTTCAAAAAAAATACAATGTACTACTGCCTTGTTTTTTTGAACTGTCAGTAATTTCTTTATTGGAATTTTTCGTAATTTATTGTGCCTGCATGAAGTACACACAGGGGGGGGGGTTTAATTTTCCGGACAGCTTTTCTTCAGACTTCTCAATCTGGCAACCCTGTGTGGCGTGGGAATCCCGGGATAATAAAGTAGTATTGGCAAAATCTCGGGGTTTCCGACAAAATTTGCGCGTCAGGCTAACTAAAGGCAGAACTATATTTATTTTACGTGTTGTGTTGTGACGCGATCAGGTTCATACATTTAGTAAGTTTTAAATTACACTTCTGTGTCGCGATCTGTCGCGATGTGTCGACAGCGTTCTCATTCTAACCATAATAAATGTATGAAACAGTTAGCTCTGTTGGAGAAATTAATATTTAGATTCAGTTTCGAGATTTTAAATGAGAAAAATCACTCATGCTGAATTAGCAGCGGAATAGAGAAAACCCGTTTTTTTTATTTATTTGATGTACAAACAGATGACAAATATTCAGTACAAAATTATCTTCATTATCACACAAAAACAAGGATTTACCCTTTAATATGTACATACTGAGTGACTAAATAATAATAACAGAGTACTTGACATGCTAAGCAACAGCCAAATCCAAATATATATTTTTTAAATTGATTACTAGCAATATATTTATTAATTTAAAAAGTTACATATTAGCAATTAGATTCTTCATAAATACTAAAGATCTACGATCAAATACATCTATTTCTGCTTCATTAACGACGAGTTCATTATATCAATCGAGAATCAATGTAAGTTGACGAATTGACGACATTATACGTGTATTTCCAGGGCCGTCTTTAACCTATTAGAGGCCCTGGGGGCCAATCGCCTAACGGAAATGCTTTGGGAAACGCTAACGCTTACGATTTTATTTTTTCCTCATAGTGTCGGATTGGGCTATGAAAACTAACCACTTAAAATAAAATCATTCTGTACATCAGTGCTATAATGAACTTGACCGATATCTAATCAATAATGTTTTGAGAATTTCAAGATACTTATTACAATGTATTGTGTTACACATCGAATTGCCTCAAATGATTCATTCATACGTAAAGCATACATAAGCAACCATTATTACTAAGAAAGAGACAAATTTTACATTTCCTTATCAAACTGAGATCTCGATAACACTCAACGCGAATTTTATCAATGATTTGTTTGATTCGTGAATCTTGAGAAAACCCGGCATCACGATTTTGAAATAAAAATACCGGGGTACTAATCACACATCTATATAATATATATATATATATATAACTCAAAGGTGACTGACTGACATAGTGATCTTTCAAAGCACAGCCCGAACCACTGGACGGATCGGGCTGAAATTTGGCATGCAGGTAGATGTTATGACGTAGGCATCCGCTTAGAAAGGATTTTGGTCAATTCTACCCCCAAGGGGATAAAATAGGGAATGAAAGTTTGTATGAAACTTTATCAATTTTAAACCGATCGGGCTGAGACTTTGCATGCAGGTATAAGAAGAATCATAGATAAATGTCATCGTGTATAATACAAGCCTGAGAACAAAAACTGTAGTCTACACTTCAGCTCTACACCGAAGCGAAGCGAGGGCGGACCGCTAGTATATTATAAAGGCGAAAGTTCGTGAGTGTGTGTGTGTATGTTTGTTACTTCTTCACGTCTAAACGCCTGATACTCACATAGTTTATGACCTGGATTGTGATATAAGAAGATACTTTTTATTCCGGAAAAATTTTAGGTTCCTGTGGGATTGCCAAAAAACTAAAGTTAACGCGTACGAAGTCGCGGGCGGCCGCTAGTCATAGATAAATGATCGCTTCGCCCCACAAGATACCGCGCCGTCTAAAAATCAAGAACTCCGTAAATGCGGCAACTCATTACTGTGTGTAAGTCAATTTGCAAGGATGCTATTGTATGTCGAGAATCGTGTAGCCAGCTGCTCAACTGCTACCCAAGTAATAAGGAAAATATTTTATGCTGTCTTCTATTGGTTCTTAGTCTTAGTAGTACGGCGGGCTGTTTCCGCAACTCTACACCCAGAGCCTATCATGCGTGGGGATTGGCATCAGTCCTGCCATTCCAGCTCCTCCAGAAAGCTCAGCAGTCCCGGAATGTTGCTGCAGGCCTCTACTATTGTCTTCGGGCTTCCCATTAGAGAAGTCCTTTGTCTTGCAACGCCTCTGCACTCCAGTAGGACATAGGCGCTAGTCTCATCCTTCTCCAGGCTAGCTCTGCACAGAGGGCTGTCAGAAATACCTATATTACAGAGGTGTTTGTTGAAGTAGCCGTGACCCGTGAGTATACCCACGATTTGTTTCAAGGCTTGTCTAGGTAGTCTGATTAACTTACGTGTTAGCTGCAGGTTTACCTTAGGAACGGCTTCCTTAGCTTGCCTGCAGTCCGTGAGTGAGTTGTGATCAGTAATCGTCGTGTTGTCGTAGAGAGCGCTCCCTTATCCAGGTTCGTAGCTATCGATAGGGTATGGGTATAATTGGGTCTGGACCAATGGCCGTCCTGCTGGACCCCTCCCTGGCTAAGCAGTCCGCCGCATCGTTACCCCTTGAGTCGCTGTGTCCTTTAACCCTTATCATGCCGCCCCTGTCAACTACATAATACGTGTCAGACGCGTGAACGAATTAATTATGGAAATAATCCGAATAGCGTAGTTAAGACGGAGGAATCGTATGTATGTACTATGCGAAAAGGCGAATTAAATTATTGTCTGTACGATATAATCATAGACATAAGTATCTGAGCGTAATATTCAAAATTCGGTTGTCTCTTTCTATGCTATGTGATAATAATTAGAATAAAGGAACCGTGATTAACGAAGCATTTTAAGCTTGACGTCTCTGGTTGTCGTTACTTTAGGCACCTCGCGCACTATGCGGTTATGACTACGACCAGTGGCCGCAACGACCATATTAACTAAAGGAACCATTAGGCGGTTTGCAGACGACGGGGCGGGGCGGGCCGGTCAATTTCGCTGCGAACGATAGCACAAAGTGAATCCTATATTACAAACGCACACAGAGGGCAAAAAGACCGCGCCTTGGGTGTCCGGCGGGCAGTGGCGGCGCGGCATGTCCGCGGCTGCCCGCCGTGGATCATACAAACCAGTTTATATGCAGTAACGCAGACGGCGGCGCGGGGCGGTCAGCTCACTCCGCGCCACGCGCTTTTTAGTGATGGACTATTCACTAGAACGAACGTCCTGAACTGACCGCCTCTGCCCGTCGTGTGCTTTGTGTACGCGGCGCGGGCAGCCGCAGACATCGACGGGCAGACGCGGTCTTTATTGCTTCGCGGACAAAATGCCCTCCCCGCCCCGTCGTCTGCTCAACGCCTAAAGAAGTTTCACTTCGAAAATTCTAACATATTAAAAATATAACATGTTTTTTTTATGGATAGGTCCGACAAATGACTCCACCCCACCTGATGTTAAGTGAAGCTGAAGTCCAGACGCGAAGATAGCTGATACAGCAGTTCTACCTGCCACACCAGCCATCCTCACCCTGCCGGCCTGCATGTTGCTTCTTCACGCCTCTTAAAGGATCCCAGGTTGTAAGAGGGAGGGAACACGTGAGCGGGCAGAGCATTCCATTTACGGATAGTGCGACTAGGGTTGCCAGGTGTCCGGCTTTAGCCGGACATGTTTGGCTTTTTGCGGTCGCGTCTGGCCAAATATGTACGTGTTTGGCCTGTCCGGCTTTTGTCAGGCTTTTTGTCAGAGTGGTGGTTTTGTCAGAGAGCCTAGCTGTATAAACATAATGTTTGGCAATAAGAAAAATATGCCCGGCTTTTGGGCAGAATGTCAGGCCTTATATAGTGCGCAGTCCGGCCTTTGCATTTTATGGCCTGGCAACCCTAAGTGCGACAAAAAAAAAATTAGTCATCAAATTTCTTTGTACGCGTTGGAATTGTGGCCACAGTTAGACGATGACAACGTAGGCCAGCGCGCGTGGTCCTCTGAAGGAAAGGAGAAGGTGGGATAAGAGAGAATAACTCCTCAGAACAGTCGCCGTGGTACAGACGATAGACGCGCTTAGTGACGCCACGTCACGGCGTAATTGAAGAGGCTCGAGGTGTTTAGTCACCTCCTCATCGCCTATGATGCGGATCGCGCGCCGCTGTAACCTATCCAAAGCATCGAGCGAGTACTTGGCGGACCCATCCCAGAGGTGCGAGCAATATTACTCGTATATTAATGTATTATGTAAAAAATTATTTTTCAGGCCAATCCACGTAGCAGCTATGAACGGTGACGTCTCGCTGCTCAGGCGGCAGTGTTTGGTCCTGCAGACGCGACATGAGTCTGTGGACATACTGTCAACCAAAGACAATCTGGTGAGTTTCTTTATTTCTTGTTTTGTTGGAGTTTACTCCTTAAGAATCGATTTGCATATATAAGGGGCCCGGTATGAGAAAAATGTGAGGAGTAAAATCTATCGATGAATGACATTAATGACCTCGTTACGTTTTTGTGCGCAACCTCATCTGCGCACCTTTCACTTTTAGCCATGGCAACGGATAAAAAACATTAAGTTGTCACAAATGTCAATAAAATAAATAAACTAAAAATAGATAAAATCGGAGCAAAATTAATGAAAACAAATAAATAACAGAATATAGAGAAATGCTGGTAAGTGTCCAGCACTCTCGAATAGTGATTTTCAGTACAGATGGAATTATAATACCTACATATTTACACAATGATGACTAGTGTGTGATATTTTTGAAATTGTGTGTTTCTAGAAATACATAATAAAATATATGATAAATAACTCTGATGTTAGATGATAAAATGTGTGACATGAAACCTATGATAGTCGAAACCTAGGACGATTCCTGAGGTATCTCTACTTTTAACCGACTTCTTCGGACTTGATTTTGTTTTGTGTCTGTTCAAAGACAATCGTTTTTAGAGTGTAAACTCCGGTCGTGCGTCGGAGCTGGCACACACATTTTTTTTTATAATACATATGAGCTGACGGCTCGCCTGATGGTGTAAATCCCGGCGAACTTATACCCATACAACCGTTAAGACAACATAAACCGTTAAAGTACATTATGATATAAGTGCGGTGAGTTGACAATTACAGCCGAGGCGATATTGTTAGCCCGAGCCGTCGTAGTTGAGGGCTATCAGAAGGCAGAGGCTGTAATTATCAAACCGCACGTATGTCATACGTTTTATAACACATTTGCGAGGAAATAATACTACCTACGTACGTACTTTCTGAAAATGAATTTGCACCTTTGTTTGTTTTCCATAAGATGAAATTTTGATACGATTGATTGTAAGTATCTATCCGTGGATTTTTCGGGCAAGAGCCTTAGCGTAGCCTTTTTCGACTTCTGTCGGTGTCAAATTAATAAATTCGTTACTACTTGACAACATTTTCAAATAAAAACATTACAGCGAAATGAAAAAGAAATAACTTTTTCACAGATTAGCGATGCGCGCGCATCAACGCTTTTTTTAGGCAAAGGAACAAAAAACAGCCTGTTTTACTAATAAAGTAAATTAATATTTTTGTGAATTTGTTCAAAATGAATCAAATTAAAGAATCAAATGTTTATGTATTATATTTATCTCCCAAAGTTAATTGTTGGCTACCTTTTTGACATAAAAACTCTTTGCTAAGATTTAAAAAAGTATCGTTCGTTTTTAGACGGCACACATAATAAGCCGTGCGTTTTACTTTACATTACCGCACGCGTGTGTAATGTGATAGATTATGACATTGAAATTGATGCAATAAGAGACGCTTTACGAGCAAATGTTTTACAATATACATACAACTCTTGGATCATCAATTTTTTTCCCTACCACCAGTTAAGGACATTTTTTAGCCGTGGAAAAGAACAACCAAAAAAACTTCTCAGCGACAAATTTTGTAACAATATTTACAAAGTATATTATACTGTGTCTGATAAACTCGATGGTGTGGGTGGTTAGCGCGTTCGGCTGCGATCGTTGAAGTTAAGCAACTTTCACAGCGGTCGGTCATTGGATGAGTGACCAAAAATCTTCTATTTCGAGTTCCTCCTTGCTTCGGAAGGCGTTAAGCCGTTTGTCCCGGCTGCGTCCACAGTCGTTAGCACCTGCCAAACTGCACTGGGCCCGCGTGGTGGTTCACGTCCCAATCTCCCTATTCCATCCATACTTAAGGTCGTGCCCCAGCAGTGGGAACATTAATAGGCTGATGATGATATTGTGTCTCGTGGGCATACAGGAGAGTCTAAATGAAACTCAACTAGTTCTTTCAACTTCAATTTATAATTAAATCAGATATAACTAATGACACAACTTTCTTAAAGGTTAGAAAAATGAGTAGGTACTTACTTGAGTAGTATATATTTAAATGAGAATATACACAACTTTATTTAATTTTAATTCAATTCAAAATATCTTTATATATATAGGAATATCTTTTGAATCGTCTATATTCTTCCCCCTGCCATCAGTTAAACATATTGAAGCGGAGAGCTAGTGGAATCGAAAAATAAATAATGCTAGGATTTTGGACGCAATGGGTTTATTTACACTATTTAAAGTAATACACAAAATAATATTAAAGCAGATGACAGACAAAGACTACGAGAACACAATAACAATTTTGATAGCAAAAATCATAAATATCTCAGTACCCGTAGCACGAATCATTATCGAATTCGAATAGTTTGCAAACCGAAATATCAATGTCAAATTTTGTATGGAAACTTGAACAGCAGCGGCACAAAGTACGTAACGAGAACTAAAAATCAGTACACATTTGACAATGACATTTCGGACTCGCAAACGATACGAATTCGATATTGGTTGGTGCTGGAGGTACAGTACTTAAAAAACATTTCCAAAAACTATGAAAACTAAATTTATCAAAAAAAGTCAGCAACAGACATTTTATAGTTGTGGAGAAAATAGGACGAAAAAATCTTCGCAGCGTCAAATCTTGTAACGATATTTGCAAAACATTATATTGTTACAGTGTATATTTGTATATGTGTATTCATACACCAGCATATAATTGTACCTAACTAGTTATGTCTCTTTATTTATTATCATCATTTTTAGGGACAGTCCCGTGATGTCTATCATAATGTTTTGACAAACGCAGAACATGCAATGCACACAGACGCTGACTCATAAACCGTATTTTTACCTAATCAACAGATTTGCAAATTGCATTTAATAATATTAGTTTGATGTGTAAAAATAAATTGTTACATGTTTTAAACGAACATGATTAGTTATTTTCGATCGGTCGACTCTCTTTTGTATGATTTTGTTATATTTTCTTAAAGAAAAAATTGATCCTATTTCTATGGACATATTCAGGGAACCGCTTATCTCTGGAACACGTAAAAGCAGAGATACAAATTTAAGTATAATTTTAAAATGTCCTGTCGTGAGCTTTACGACTAATACGCTTTGAAATACTATGAATTACCTTACCTTTACGTAGGGCTGCCATCCGTCCGGGTTTTCCCGGATTTTACGCGGCGTCCGGGGAGCGTCCGGGCGGGGTTTTATTTGTAGTCCGGGTTTAAAAATTTACGGCAACGCATTAATGGCCCTTGGTGCTGCAAGTGTCCATGGGCAGCAGTGACCGCTTATTATGAGGTAGACCGCTAGCTCGCTAGCTCTTTTGCCTAGATCAACATCAACAACAAAAAAGTTGATTTGTGATATTTTAACTGTTTTTTATTGGTCGTCCGGGTTCTGGGCTCCAAAATCCGGGGTTCTCACGCGTCTTATCCTGGTTGCAACATTTTAGAGATGGCAGCCCTACCCTTACGGGCTCTTTACAGCATAATATCCGCTAAAAAACCATGCGAATACCCTCTAAGCTGCTTAGCGCGAAGCCGCGGGATCCCCGTTTAAGGATTCTTTCGCGTCTCCGCCTCCCGGCCTAGTTAGGGCTCCACGGCAGGGGTCTCCCCGGTTATCGCGGGGACCCCGCAGACGTATGCAAGATGGCCTGCGCGTGGGGGCTGAGTACGCGGCGTAGTGCCCACCGTACCGCCCCCCGTCCGCTGCGGAGGGCTACTAGAGGTGTAACTCCCTCCGCCGCCCCCCTCTTTGCAGGACAGAACTACAAGGGTCACGGGGTCCGTCGGTGGCCGGCACAGCTGACGCCATGCCGGTCAGCGAGGGACACCCCGGGTAGGGTCATGGGCAGCCAGGGCGCGCCGCCGTCCTCTCCTACCCTGGCTAGGATACCCTGCAGTATGCCAGTTTGAAATCTATTAAGGATGGAGAATGCATGTCTCCTTACCGCTTCATTTTTGACGCATTCCATTAAAATGTGTTGCACATCCTATACTTTTTCACATGTTTCACAATTAGGAGAATTGTTTTTTTTTTCGGTTACATGCTTAAAAAATAAAAATTATATCTTTTTTATAATTTTTAATTTTTTAAAGCATGTAACTGCTTGATGTATAAATCTAAAGAAAATATAACTAGAAAAAATGCCACGCGGTCCAGGCAGCAGATGGGACTCGAACCCACACCCTTCACAATCCGGGCGAATGCACAGGCCAATTTTTTCTAGTTATATTTTCTTTAGATTTAAACATCAAGCAGTTAAATGCTTTAAAAAATTAAAAATTATAACTACAATTGCTATTTCTTCTTTCAAATGTTTAATACTTGTAAAAGTATTCATTTGACATTGTGGGTTACCAACCTATAATGCGAAGAGATGGCACTGCCTTGCAGCTTAGGAATGGCTAGAGGAATTGCGACGCGGTCCCTGAGGGCCGCGGTAGCATAATTGGTCAGTGCATTCGCCCGGATTGCGAAGGGTGCGGGTTCGAGTCCCGTCTACCTACCTATAATGCGAAGAGATGGCGCTGCCTTGCAGCTTAGGAATGGCTAGAGGAATTTCGACGCGGTCCCTGAGGGCCGCGGTAGCATAATTGGTCAGTGCATTCGCCCGGATTGCGAAGGGTGCGGGTTCGAGTCCCGTCTGCTGCCTGGTCCGCGTGGAATTTTTTCTAGATATATTTTTTTTTATATCTTTTTATTAATATTTTCGTACAATTTTTTAAGAACATTTTGCTCATGAAGTAGTGTTAGATTTTCGTAACAAAAGTACTTAATTGAATTAGGTATACTATATTTATCTGTAATACACTTTCATTCGATAACTTGAAGAAAATTGATATTATCGCCTTTTTCTTTTATGATTACTTGATTGATAATAAGTACATTATAATATAAGTGCGGTAAGTTGAGAATTACAGCCGAGGCGATATTGTTAGACCGAGCCGTATGTCATACGACGTTTTATAACACATTTGCGAGGAAATAATACCTCCTACGTACGTACTTTCTGAAAATGAATTTGCACCCATAGATGAATGATTGGTCTCGGTGAAGCGAGACCAATCATTCATCTATGTTTGCACCTTTGTTGGTTTTCCATAAGATGAAATTTTGATACGCTTAACTGTAAGTATCTATCCGTGGATTTTTCGGGCAAGAGGCTTAGCGTAGCCTTTTCGACTTCTGGCGGTGTCAAATTAATAAATTCGGTACTAGGAACTAGACAATATTTTCAAATAAAAACATTACAGCGAATTGAAAAAGAAATATTTTTTTCACAGATTAGCGATGCGCGCGCATCAACGGATTTTTTAGGCAAAGGAACAAGAAACAGCCAGTGTTACTAATAAAGCAAATTAATGTTTTTGTGAATTTGTTACCAATACATGGTTGTAATTTATTGTCAAAATGAATCAAATTAAAGAATTAAATGTTTATATATTATATTTTATCTCGCAAAGTTAATTTTATTAAGAAAATGTTGGCTACCTTCCTGACATAAAAACTCTTTGTTAAGATTTAAAAAAGTATCGTTCGTTTTTAGACGGAACATAATAAGCCGTGCGTTTTACTTTACATTACCGCACGCGTGTGTAATGTGATAGATTATGATATTGAAATTGGTGCAATAAGAGACGCTTTACGAGCAAATGTGTTATAAAATGATTTACCTTACGTAGAATAATAAATAAATATTTCCAACATTCACACCAATTAGCCTAGCAGTTTAGGCTTGTGTTTTGAGATACTAGAGTAACGGATATAATACATAAACTGATATATATATTTTGTTATTACCAATGCAAAAGAGAAAAAACGCGAGGCATTTGAAAACCTTCGGTGGTCAGAAATAACATAATTACATCGTTAGCGATAGCGATAGCCATAGTAACCGCGTTAGGCAATTGGCCCTCTGGATTAAGATGTAGGATACTTCTTATCCCGAAAAAATCTGCCTCAAGCAAAATATAGTAGTTTCGCCTACTATATATATTTTTTTTAGAAATATATATAATTATATATTTGTTCCCCTAATATAGTAGGACACTATATTATACAAGCTGTCCTAGCGAACTTCACACCGCCATAAAAAAAAATAGGGGTTGGCGCTAGAATAGTGAAAATTTGGGTTGTATGTATTTTTGTATGATGTATCATAAAAAAATAAAAACAAAAAAAATCTCCAAAAAAAAAAATTTAAGGGGATTAACATTTAGGGGGATGAAAAATATATGTTGTCTGATTCTCAGACCTACTGAATATGCATAAAAAAATGAAAATTCCACGAAAATCGAGCCGTTTCGGAGTAGTTCAATTACGCACACCGTGACACGAGAATTTTACATATTAGATAGTTGGGCAGGCGCGGTCGCAGCCTGAAATTTTGGAGGGGGTCACTCATTACACTAATAAAAAAAACCGGCCAAGTGCGAGTCGAACTCGCGCACCGAGGGTTCCGTACACACCTGAATTTTCAAAAATATTTTTTATTATTTGATGTAACTAAAAATTCACGGTTTTCGCAATTTTTTCTTTATCTGTACTATAAGACGTTATGTACCAAATGTCAAGAATGACCTTAGATTTTGGGGGGGCTCATGTCCCCTGTGACCCCCCCCCCCTTCCGCGCCTGTAGTAGGGTTGGCAACCCTGTTCATATCTGGCTTGTTTATTTAACATTTTATTTATCAATGATAGGTCTATCAATAAGAGATAAAATTTTTGGATTTATCAATGATAGATAATAAGAGAAAAACGTTTTGGAAACATGTAATTTAATAATTTGGTGACTACTGTGTAGGTATTTGTATGTGGGTATGCATAAATTATCAGCCAATTCGATACCTGACCCACCATAACATTATGCAACCATTTTGTTCGGGGTATCAGTCTTCGTGGGGTTCTAATGGAGAAATACACTGTTTAAACTGTTAAATATTTTATTGATGTGTAACATCTTTCCTTTCACTTTCCAAAATTTGTGGGAGTGATTATGTGAAGTGAGACGGAAGTGTGTAAAAGGAAGTCGCGAAAGCGCGCGCTATTTGATTTGTTTTAGAAATTAGAACATAATGTTCAAATGGCTTATTCCTTTTGTAGTAGGTTTTAATTCTTTTTTTACTAATATAAGGTGAGGTTTCAAATGTTACACATCATACGCGACTACTGTAAGGCTCGCTCGTTGTTTTTCACTCCGCATTAGGACACAAAGTTCACTCTTATTAGAAATGTTCAATCAAAGTCAAAGCAAAATGTATTACAATGTTATTGTTAATACTATTTTAATATGTAATTAACTATGATTTTATTTTATTTTTTATTGTGGGTTACCTACAATGCGAAGAGATGGCGCTGCCTTCCAGCTTAAGGCTAGGAAAATTTCGACGCGGCTAATAGGGCCGTGGTAGCATAAGGGTCAGTGCATTCGCCCGGATAGCGAAGGATGCGGGTTCGAGTCCCGTCCGCTGCCTGGTCCGCGTGGATTTTTTTTCTAGTAAACTTCTTTTTTTTTTTCTAGTAAACTTTTCTTTAGATGTAATTAACTGTTATAAAAATGTTTCGAATATATGTTACATATAATGTTAACGAGTACAACTAATTGCTACCGCGAAATGTATTGCACAGAATATTATAGTTTTACGTGATAACGTCACAAAGAAACATTGATGAAAAATTGCATAATTGCTAGCTCTGACGTCACGCGAGAAGAAAGATGAAGGTGTACAAGCCGACGCTTGGGCCGATTGTGCCTCTATATCGCTTGTTCTGCGCTCTCGCTTGCACGCTCAAGCTCAGGCGGAACGTGACACTTTTTCGTGCGTGCAGCCGGTGTTCATCGATTTACAAGACGTTATCACGTCAATAAATAAATAGGTTGCATGGAATGAGGAGCTCGATGCCGCAGGTAGTTAGCGCGTTCGTCTGTGATCGTTCAAGTTAAGCAACTTTCGCAGTGGTCGGTCATTGGATGGGTGACCAGAAATCTTCTATCTCGAGTTCCTCCGTGCTTCGGAAGGCACGTTAAGCCGTTGGTCCCGGCTGCATCTGCAGTCGATAGTCCTGGCCCTGGTGGTCATGGCCCTATCTCCCTATTCCATCCATAGGGAAAGTCTGTGCCCCAGTAGAGGGGACATTAATAGGCTGATGAAGATGATGATGAAATAAATAATCTTTATATATATAATTCTTCTGTGAGTGTGTATGTCACTGAACTTCTCTTAAACGACCGGACCGATTTTGATGAAATTTTTTGTGTGTGTTCAAGGGGATCTGAGAATGGTTTAGATTCACAATTTTGTCCGCTGGACAATGATTTTTTAATTAATTTTTAATTTATTAGTAGTTGTTGATTTTGGAATGTTTTACATTGGATCCGACAGACGGCGCTACCATACTAGACAGGACAACGTCTGTCGGGTCCGCTAGTATGTATATATAATAAGTAGAGATATGAATGTTTTGTTCGCAGACCGCTCTCCAAATCTCAATATTCAGCAATAAGCCAGAGTGCACGGAGTTGTTACTCCAACATGGTGCTGATGTGCTGGCCACAGACGATGAATATAGGACCAGCTTCCATTTGGCTGCTGAGGCGGACCCTGAGCACCTGAAGGCCTTGATCAAGCACTGTCAGACTAATCCAATGTGAGTATAATAGCCTAAGTGCCTTTTCACATGCACACGGTCACGGCACAGCCGCCATGCCGTGCAACCGTGCTAGCTCTTTCACATGTATACGGCTTACACACGGTCGCCGGCTATGGATGTTGCAGTATTATCGAGAATTTTGGGGAACGACGACGTCTTTTATCATGGAACAAAAAAAGATTATTTTCATTATCATCTAATTCTTCAAAACTACTATTTGATCCTATACATACTTCTTTCCACGCTTCTATTGTCTCGTTCCTGTTTTTATAAGACGCGATGGTTTTATCCCATAAAGTAAGACGCGTTTCAACTAGCGAAATCAACACATCAACATCGATTTCGACAGACATTCTGCAACAATCGTCCGTCCATTCCCCTATGACTTTAGCTGACGAATGGTATTTGCGCTCGCCGTGCCGTACCGTGCCCGTGTTCATGTGAACGCGTCTATACAAGTCCATACAAGACTATAAAGACGGTTGCCGCGTCAAAATCGTGCTTATAGTGGATAAGGACGGCTGACACGCGGTCACGGCACGGTCGCCGTGCAATGTGAAAGCTCTCAATAGTTGCTCATACATTACTATTTTACACGGCACGGCAACCGTGCCGTGTCCGTGTACGTGTGAAAAGGCACTTAGATTAAATAAAAAGGAAGATACGGCACTCGTGTCTCGAAAGGTCTTACTCCATCATGGTGCGGATGTGTTGGCCAAGGATGATGAATATAGGACCAGCTTCCATTTGGCTGCGGAGGCCGACCCTGAGCACCTGAAGGCCTTGATCAAGCTCCGCCAGAGCAGCTCAATGTGAGTACAATAGCAAAGAAAGAAAAAAAAATAGAACAGACTTTAAAAAACAAAAAAAAAAAAGGTTTACGTATATGTTATTTAAGCATTGATCTGATAGATGTTTAAATCTAAGGAAGTTTTACTAGAAAATAATCCACGCATACCAGGCAGCAGACGGGACTCGAACCGTGCGGGTTTGAGTCCCGTCTGCTGCCTGGTATGCGTGGATTAGAACAGACTGTTGTCAAGTTTACAAATAGCAAATACGAATAGCCAAGTTTTTACTTGGCTATTCGTATTATATTGCTATTTGTAAACTTGCATAGTTTTAACTATGTCCTATATTTCCCAATCACCCTATTGTATAGAATTAATTATGTCCTTTATTCCCAATCACCCTATTGCATAGTTTTAACTATGTCCTATATTTCCCAATCACCCCATTGTATAGAATTAATTATGTCCTGTATTTCCCAAATACCCTATCAATGACCCTATTGTATAGTTTTAATATGTTATATATTTCCTATGTTCTATATTTCCCAATCACCCTATTGCATACTTTTGACTATGTCCTATATTTCCCAATCACCCTTTTGTATAGACTTAATTATGTCCTTTATTCCCAATCACTCTATTGTAAAGAATTAATTATGTCCTTTATTTCCCAAATACCCTATCAATCACCCTATTGTATAGTTTTAACTATGTCCTCTATTTGCCAAATACCCTATTCTATAGTATTAACTGCGTCCTATATATCCCAATCACCCTATTGTATAGTTTTAACTGTGTCTTATATTTGCCAAATATCCTATTGTATGGTTTTAACTATGTTCTATATTTACCAAATACCCAATTGTATAGATTTAGAGAACTACTGGAAATTAGAATATCCAGAAGTTAGTTGCTCCGGTGCGGAGGTATCGGTGTTCGTGTTCTGTGCTTCCATTTTATTTTCCCCGAAATTATTTTCTCTCTCATTAAATTGTCTTATAATATTTTTTTTTATGTAAATTGTACCATAATAATGATATGTCCAATGGATGTGTTATTAATTACCGTATGTAATTTTATTTAAATTTCTTTTAATGTAATTGTGATTTTTAATCTGACATTTAAATTCGTGACCTCATCTATATGGTTCAGAACTGAAAGTCAGCGATTTACTCTATGAGTAAATGTTACGCTGAGTTTTCGCCCATTCGCATCGCTGCTGCACCCGAAAATATCATGGTATAGTTGTTTAAATATAATTTGTTGACTTTTTTAAAGGATTGATCTAATTCTAAGATTTGTCTTGTCAAATTTGTGTGTGTGCATGTTGGTGCGAATAAAGTCTTATCTATCTATTTAGAAAAAACAGCCCTTGCTGAGTTTCTTGCCGGTTCTTCTCAGTACAAGGTCTCCCGCCGTAGTTTTACGAACCGATGGCGTAGCTTTTCGACATTCACAAGTGCTTGTAACAACCTAGACTGAATCAACGATATTGATTTTGATTTTTTTCTGATTTTCATTTATTTGACTTTGCAGGAAAATCTTGCAGGACAACGAAGATATATGGAAACCCGAGTTGGCTTCCAAACCAAAAGATTATTTGTGCAAGTATTTGCTGAGAAAAATAACTACAATGTTTGATAACGAAGGTCAGTTACAGTTTTCAAATAAATAAAAGTTAACATAAATTGTAATATTTCTTTTTATTAAGCATTTCACTGCTAGATGTTTAAATCTGAAGAAAAATTTTACTAGAAGAAATATAGATAATAAGAAATAGTCCGCATGGAGTTTTTTCTAATAAAAATTTCTTTAGATTTAACATAAATTTGTTGAATTGCTGGGATTTACTCGAGCGTGGCAGAATAACGTAAGGTGGGGCAACCTTGCACCTTGTTAAGTACTCCCACCATACCTGAGCCCTTTATGTAGAGCCCAACGTCTAAAGGCACTAAAAAAAATCCAATGGCCATGACTTTTGGCCGCGTCCAAATCGCCAGTCTTTTCAATAGAAGCTATGGGTTCATGTAAGGTTCCTGGTGCCGGAATAAATATTATTCAATCGTTTTGCATGGTGTGGGGATCCTATATTAAGGGGTAGAATATAGAAAAAAAATATTTTAGAAGACATGTTGTGTGAACCCTCCTGTAGCTCGTATTCAAAAGCCTGACGATTTGGACGCGGCCAAAAGTCGTGGCCTTTTGTTGAAATATTTTTTTTACTGCCTTAGACGTTCTGCCCTTCATAAAGGGCTCAGGTATAGTGGGAGCACTTCACAAGGGGCAAGGTTGCCCCCGTTATGTTATTCTGCCGCGCTCGAGTAATTCCCGAAATTCCCGCTTGGACCCCCTACTACAATTTTTATAGTAGGGGTACTATAAGTTTTAACGACCGATTCTAAAACAAAAGTTATTTAGATTTTTATCATTTTAATGTATAAATGAAAGTTACCTATCTATTTCATTTAACATTGTAGTTACCTAAAATGTGAAGAGATGGCGCTACCTCGCAGCCTAAGATATTATCATCATTAGCCTATTAATGTCCCCAGTGCTGGGGCACAGGATTTGCGGAAAATTGATCGAAAACAATTCATCGAATTACAATTCTTCGAACACAATTCATCGAAAAAACAATTCGTCGAAAAACAATTCTTCGAACGGTAATTCCAAAAAAAAATGAAAATTTAGCAGGAGGGAGGCTAAAACGAGGTGGGGAAAGGGGAAAAAGTATGAAAAAAAAAACGTTGCACGTACAAAAGTGTCGTTTCTGGCGCTTCGCCGGCCGCTGCCGCGGCACGCTCGCTCCGCTCGCTCGGCTCGCGCGTTTTTGGTCATCATACTAACCTAACCTAACCTAATGAACTCTTTAGACTTTATTCATTGCGGGGGGCTTCGCCCCCCCGCCCCACTTCGATTCTGTCACTAATAATATGAAATATAAAAAGCATGAAATTCTACACATTAATTTATTTTGTATACATGTTTTATGGCATTAATTGTTTCTAAAAACGCGTCTTTTTTATATTTAATTATGTTTCTGCGCCACAAATATTCTACAATCGAATCTGCAAAATCGTGCGGATGGTTATAATTATCTTTTCTGAAATATCTTTTGACAGCCCTCCACTGGGACTCGATCCTCTGCGTGTGAGTACCGTCTGGGGCAATAAATGGGTTGTCTGGATCAGAATGGTTTACTTTTTTGTTTTTCGGGGAATTACCGTTCGAAGAATTGTTGTTCGACGAATTATTTTTTCGATGAATTGTGTTCGAAGAATTGTAATTCGATGAATTGTTTTCGATGATTTTTCCGGTGAGGGGGGCACAGGCCTTCCCTATGGATGGAATATTGAGATTGGGCATCTGATATGACCCGAACCAGCACCGTTGTGAGAAGACGATACGGTCTACAATCGTGAAAGTCAAGCAACCTTTTCAATGAATAGTTTTAGGATTGGTGACCGAAACTATACAATCTCTCACTCTTTAACGATTAGGAAGGCACTTTACGACGTTGGTCGCGGCTGCATCTGCAGTCGTTAGCACCCGCCAATCCGCACTGTGCCCGCGTAGTGGGTCACGGCCCTATCTCCCTATACCATCCATAGGGAAGGCCTGTGCCCCAGCATTAGGGACATTAATAGGCTGATGATGCCATCACTATCCAGGTTACACGCCCCTCATGTTGTCCAGCAAGCTAGGAAAACATCACAATGTGAAGCTTCTGATAGACGCTTGCCCAGAAACTGTGAACGTACAGATGCCCAGCAGTGGGAATACTGCACTATATCTGGCTATAGGATCGGCTTATTTGGACGCGAGCAGTAAGTGATATCCAATAATACCCAATAATAATATTCTCGGATATATACATTTTTAACGTGCAATGTCGGCACTTGTTTGCTATTCGTGTATGCTATTTGTAAACTTGACAATCTGTCCTTTTCATTCCTTATAAAGAAGGATAAGGATAGATAGACCGTTGTCAAGTTCACAAATAGCAAATACGAATAGCAAACAAGTGCCGGCATGAGATATTTACAAGGAGGTGACTTATCATTGCTTTTATTCAAATTTAGAGCTGACCTGCAAATAGCCGTTTATTGAAAAAGAAATCTAATGAACACAATGCTGCGTGGCGCTAGCTAATTAAGAACAAAGATTCGTATGTTTGTGACAAATAAACTCAAAAGCTTAGAACAGAACCAATTTAAAAAAATCTGTCTCCATTAAATGCTATATTATCTGTGAAGAACACAGCCTATATTTTATTGCGTTAAAATAAAGTGCACCCGTGCAAAGCCGGGTAGCTCGCTAGTACTATCGAATTTGAAAAAAGTTTGTAATGTTTTTCACTCAATCACACGAAAACTGATGAACAGATTTGGATGAAGTTGACCACACATATAGATTATTAAGATATCTCATTGTCAGTATAGAAAATAGTTTTCAATACATGTTACTATGTCATTCCATAAGCATATTACTAATGAAATCACACATGTCCACAGATCGCGGTAACAAATCCACAGTGTCCGAAGACTTCAAACACACCATAGAGTATTTGGTAGAGCTCGGCGCAGACCCGGCCATAGAGAATCACTCCGGTTCCAATGTGAATACAGTGTTAACAGACCTACGTATAGGGGAGTTGTCTATGATCGTAGCTAACAAGATGACTTCTAAGAATTGGATGGAGGCTGACAAAGGAAACGACATTGCCAATCCTTTCAATGTCGGTATGCTTTTAAAAGATAAAGATGGCAAACTAAAATACAGGGAAGTACCAAAAAAGACGACGCCCAAAAGCACAGACAAAGACGAAGATGCAAAGGTGACCCCTAAAGAAGCACCTAAAAAGAGGACGCACATCGTAAAGACTATAGATAAACTGGAGAAAAGAATCAAACCTACAATATTACAGAATATTAAAATTCTAAAAGACGATCCTATGATCAAAAAAATTAACCCAAATGAATTGACACCGGTCAAAGAAATTAGGAATGTTAAAAAGGACGTTCTTTTAACACCATCTGGTAGTAGTTCTAAAAAAAGTCTAGTTATAGAAGTTCCACACTTGAAATCGGTCATAGTTGAAAACAAGGTGCCAAGAGATGGTTATATGGAGACTTTCAAAAATTTCGTAGCGAATAATGGTAATGATAAAATTGAAACACCAGTCGCGTTCACCAGTGAAGCGAATTCGGATGCAGCCAAAAATGTTACTTTGAACGAAGGTGATAAAGCGGATATTGCAAAAACGTTTGATAGCAAAGCCACAGTCGCTACTGTTGATGAACATAAAGAAACACATAGTTCAGTCTATTCTAATCTAAAAAGAAAGAGATCTTTGGAGAAAAGTGACAATCACATCGGTAAACGTCGGTTTTCTAAAAAAACTAATGAGACAACCACGTAAAAGATACGCTTAAACTAATACCGCCTTATAAAACGCAGATTAAAGTTAAACCTGGACTACAAACTGATGCTGTCTCTATTGCTCGCTAAAGAGAAAACAGAGACAACACTATGTTTAAACTAAGACTAACTTTAGGCCGCGTTTTGGAATGCGGTACTTTGTATCTATCTATAGATGAAAATAATGTTTGTTTTTGACTTTCCTTTGGATAAATACACACAGCCACAGTCAAAGTTACTCAAAACTGACAAACAAAATACCTCTGAAAACTTTGATCCGAAATTTCATAAAGATGAAATATTGGATGAAGTAGGTAAATCAATTAAAGATCCATTAATAATTTTAATAATAGGATGATTTTTTCGGATAGGTTTATATATATAAGCTATATGGCGTTAATACAACATCCGTCTACAACGCAATTGCGACGTATGTCGCTAGAAGGCATTGTTACATCTTGTGATAGTGCTAAAAGGTGTGCCTAGATGGCGCTGCACTAATTTTAAATTCCTTTGTTCCCAACGAGTCACACTGTAAATTGATATTCTAATAATTATGATGTAATATAATGTAACATGGTACCAAAATTATAGTATTTTCATGCCATATCCCGGGGCTCGGCAATTTTATATTTTTAAAAGAGTACTAAATTGCAACGCCATCTATGGATATTTTTAAGCACTACTTCAAAAAATAACCGCCATTTAACGACACTCAAATCTTTCTTGAGGGAAAAAAGGTTAACCCAACTTAATGAGGGCTATCCCGTATGAATCCGCCGCTAGAGGCGCTAGTGTAGCGTGAGGTCTCCGAAATGTCAAATGTTATTGCTTGTTGGTTGACTACGCGGGTTTATTTCTAATTAAAATAATGTTGTGACTAATTGGTAACAATTCGGCTTAATTATGGCAAATATGAGTTATGTGGCAATGAATGTCAGTTATTAAAAATTTGAGCTTAGAAAAATGATTATGTTCCCATTTTTTCCGAATAAAACGGAACGGGGGGTCACTGTGGCATGGCCTATTATGTTTAGGATATGGTTCTTTTGTGTTAAAATACGATCTAAATGTAACCTTTGATTTCATGTGCGTATTAATAAACTTTAAAAGTTACAATTTAGGACCTCACTCAACAGTGGCGCCATCTGGTGAGGCAGGAAACAGTAGCCCTCATTGAGTGTGTAATTATACAAATTAATATTAAAAAAAATATATGTGGTAACTTCATGTGTGTATCATCTGTACGAATTTACTTTATGGAAATTATTATGAGAAAAAAAACGTTAAAATGTATTTAACTTGTGTATTTTAACTTAATAAGTAATATGAATATTTCATATCGTTGCCTTATTAATTGATAACTTTAGTGTCAAAAATCACTTGAGCGTTAAATTTTTGAGGTAGATAAAATCTAAAAAATAAGACTTAAAGTTACATACCTTTCTTTGCTATATTGATTAAAAACTAAAAAGAACACGTGACTTTAAACGATATTAAATTTATTTGATGTCGGAATACGACTGCAAAATTGATAAATTTGTGACATTCATCTTTATAAATGTGGCGAAAATTTACAGCAGCGCCCTCCGTGAAATGTTACTCACGTTCTTAAACATCCTTATCGCACTGTAGGAATGAATTTTTAGGCACGAATAAATTGACTATTTTTCTTACTTTTACAATTAACAAATTGAATGGACCTTTCGGGAAACCCAAATAATAAAAAATAATAATTCTATCATAATATGCTTACAAATTTAATAAAACTTAATATCCTACCCATAATTTTAATTTATTCAGGCCAGGAAAGTTAAAAACAATTGCATACAAGATCTGATTGATAAAGAAAAACAAAAAATTGTTTCGGTACTTTTTTTAAAGTTCTATAATAAATAATGATAACTAAATATGAAATCTACCATAGATTTCAACGATTTTTGTACAGAAAATTATATTATTGTTTTTTTTTTCACATCATTTATTTTGCTATATTTTCATAATGAATTACGCAATCTGTTCTTTTTTATAACCTTATACACATTGTTTGCCAAGACGTGTACGGGAGTAGTAATTTCATTTTATAAAATATTACTAGAAAAACTTCAAAAACTAACACTACCATGATCTTTCTTATCTTCTGTACAAAATGGATCATACCAGGCTTTAAAAATAGTTAACTAACAAAATGGAATGTTCCAAAACTTTTATTTTTAATTGTATTATTTTTATAAAATAAAATAAAAATAATTGGTAGGTGATTTTTCACCATAATTACACAGCTATTACATACTAAACTGTCCACATACAATTTACAGTCGCCGTTACGAAAAGTAATTATAAATTGTCCAAGAAGTTCCATACCAAGATTAAATTATAAAATATATATATGACAATCAACCTCAGCATGGCCGTTTCCGTGCCGGGGCCGTGAAAATTTGGAATTTTGGATCTAGGCGTGCGATTTGTCAATTTTATAATAGGCGTTTCGACAGCATGAAAAATAACGTACCAATCATGGCATGGCATGTATATTAAACGTGAATATTGAGACCTTTACATTATACTGACAAAAAAGGAGTTGTTAATATTGCTAAAGACCATAGAAAATAGAAAACTATTTTTTGTTCTATTGTCACGTGATGAAAATCGCCTAGGATTGGCGGAGCCTAAAATGACGTCACCTGCTTGTAAACATCCTGACCAAGTGACATTTTACTTTAAAAACGCCATATTTACTAAAGAAACGTTTCCGCGGCATATTCGAAAACATAATTTTTATTTTAGGTTATTTTTACTGATTTACGCAACAGACTTATAAATATCCTTTTTAAGGAGTATCCAAACATGAACGATTTCAAAAACTTGTCAAATAGCCTAATCGTAATATTAATCAAAATCATTAATTCAGTTTAGATTGTTACAAGCCCTCATGAATGTCTAGAAGCTACGCCATCGGTTCGTAAATCTACGGCGGGAGACCTTGTGCTGAGAAGAACCGGCAAGAAACTCAGCAAGGGCTGTTTTTTTCTCCCTGTTTTAATATGATCAATATCGCTATCTTATTTGATTGACAATTTGTTAATATAATTTCTCGTGACGGCGACTGTAAATCACTATTTTAATTTGACGTACAATAAGTATGTTGTTTTTGATTCTACATTGATGTTCCTTCGAGAAATCACGATGTTGTGATAACAGGCTTTATTAATATCCTCCGTTGGTATTAAAAATTAATTTATTAATATTACCACACAATGCTGAGTATTCTTTATTTATTATTATAGGTAATACCATTGAGTATATACACGCCAAGATTAATTGCATAGAAGCGACCCAATAATATCTATCTACTACATATGGTAGATACGCTAGTCGCTACACACGCACACATTGACTGCTTTCAGACAATGTGAAATTAGAGCAGAGTTGCCAGGTCTCAGGACTTATCAGGAGATCTGGTTTTCTGAAATTTCTCCTGTTCTTCTGTTTTTCTACATGAATGTACCTACTGGTTTTCTTAGAAAACGATTTTCTTTTTAAAATTGCATGTTGAGTTGCGTTTTCAGCTAATAGGAATGTAGGTAACCTTAATTATAGTAAAAATTCATATGTTACTGTCTAAAAAGAGGAAGGCAGAAGCAGTGACGTGTTTGACCTATTAAAAGCCCTGGACATATTAGGATAATGGGGGTCCTATGACCTCCGTTTGGTGATCTAACTAGGGAATTTGTGATCTGAGGTGGGCCCCTATCGATCGTGGGGCCCTGGGCACTTGCCCAAAGTGCCCACTGGGAAAGACGGGTCTGGGCAGAAGCCTCAGACACACATTCGTTACTGGCCTTTATCTTGATTTGATTTACCAATTCTAGGGTAGGGGGGGGGGGCAAAGTACGCCTCTGCATCTATTGTTTTTTCTATAACGCCTCCCGATTTAATGAATGGAACCTGGCAACACTGCTCTAGAGTCACGCACACATTGAGCTTAACATGAGCCGTTTTCTTTGCGTGGTTGATTTGGATTGCTCTATCTGGGTGTGTGTATATTACCGTGAATTTCAAGTAATCCGAGAAACTTAAAAATCGTGTAAATTAACATGGCGCGAACAGTTTTAAATAGTAAACGTGTTACACCCCTATAAAAAATATTGATTTATATCGTTTACAAAATACCGTAAAACTACACAAAATTGTAAATAACATCCTATTATGGATTTTTTATCCATTTCAAGTTCACACCTTCTATAAGTTGTTCTATTTGTATCAATTTTTTAATAATGAAAATGATTAAAGTTTCACAATTGCAGAAAAAGTAAGTTAAGTAAACGTAACGTTTTTTGCGTTAAAAAATCTAGTTTTTTTTGAGAAGCTCGATGGCGCAAGTGTTTAGCCCGTTTGGCTGCGCTCGTTGAACTTAAGCAACTTTCGCAGTGGTCGGTCATTGGATGGGTGACCAAAAATTACTATCTAGAGCTCCTCCATGCTTCGGAAGGCACGTTAAGCCGTTGGTACCGGCTGCGTCTGCAGTTGATAGCACCCACCAATCCCTACTGGGCCCGCGTGGTGGGTCATGGCCTAATCTCCCTATTCCATCCAAAGGGAAGGCCTGTGCCCCAGCAGTGGGGACATTAATAGGCTGAGGCTGATGATGATGATGATGATGATTGCGTTAATATAATCTCAAACTCGAAACTCATTTATTCAGTCTAGGCTTTTCAAGCTCTTGTGAAAGTCAAATGCTAAGCCATCGATTTCCATAATCTACGGCGGGAGACCTCGTACTGAGATGAACCGGCAAGAAACTCAGCAAAGCCTATTTTTTTCTCCCTGTTTTGTTTCATACAGTGTCGTCAATAGAAAGATGAAAAATCTAAAAACACGTGTTGATGTTAACTTTCATCACATTATTATTATTGATTAACAATAAGTTAAGTATAGCTAGGTACTATTTTTACATTTAGAAGTGTCGAATAAACAATCTGATCATTCTAAATCGTTGTT